TTTTATTTTTATTTTTTTCTGAGGAGTTCTGTTGTGGATGGACTTTGGTGTATTGAATGAGTTTGAGGGTATGTGTGTAGTTGAATGTGTTTAAGGGTATGTGTGTAGTTGAATGTGTTTGAGAGTATGTGTGTAGTTGAATGTGTTTAAGGGTATGTGTGTAGTTGAATGTGTTTGAGAGTATGTGTGTAGTTGAATGTGTTTGAGAGTATGTGTGTAGTTGAATGTGTTTGAGGGTATGTGTGTAGTTGAATGTGTTTGAGAGTATGTGTGTAGTTGAATGTGTTTAATAAAGATGTGAGAGTTTGAGAGTATGTGTGTAGTTGAATGTGTTTGACAGTATGTGTGTAGTTGAATGTGTTTAATAAAGATGTGAGAGTTTGAGAGTATGTGTGTAGTTGAATGTGTTTGACAGTATGTGTGTAGTTGAATGTGTTTAATAAAGATGTGAGAGTTTGAGAGTATGTTTGTAGTGTGATTTATAAAAGATTCTGAATGCGTGACAAAGTAAATAAGGATGTGATGGAGGAGAGTATGTGTTGATTGTTAGGGGGAAAAAGTAGAAGTCAGTCTTGGTCTTGTTGTCGTCGTGTTAGGAACTAGATCTATATGTCTTCGTCGTGTGTCTGTCGTCAATTTAGTTGTGTAAAGTTTATGTAATGAAATATAGTAATGAAGAACGCCGTCCTGTCTTATTTCTTTATTTGATAGTCGTACCTTGTTCGTCAACGTCCAGCATCGACCCTATCCCAAGTACTCTCATCATAACAAGTACAAACTACTTTATAACTTCAAATCAAAATACGACTAACCTTAAATTTTTTTTAGTGTGAATGCTATAATAAAGAAATTATAACAAGATGAACATTAATTATGATGGGTTTGATGTAATTTTGAATTTTAAAAAAATGTACAGCAATGTTTTTGTGATCTGAGTTTTATACTTTTATGTGTATTTTCGAGGGATTATGGCAAATCGTTTTAACTCAATTTTGACACACTTGGAATGCAACGACTAAGTTGTCGCACATTCATGTAGCGTATCTCGACTATATATTTTCACATCCTTTTGGTCTTAATTTAATTAGTTAAAAGTAAATACGTTAATCGAATTAATAAAAGGGGAGATAACAACAGAGGCATGGCAACCGATTCTACCGCTTGAAGCCAAATATCAGTTCTGTGCCTCTCATTCTAAAAAAAAATTTTAGAGTATATAAAGTGCCATTTACTAGTTACTGCCCCTGTAACACAACCACTGGAGGCAATATTTAAATCTATATGTAAAGACTTGTAGCAGAGTATTTTATTATACAGTTTGCTAGTGCCGCTTGGGAGAAATTCAACACATGCTTTGTTTTCTCCACCATCCACACCGCTAGTATTTTAATTGATAACAATACATAGCCGTAATTTAAGTGTCAAAATGATATGCGCTATATGGCACGCTATAATTGCATTCAGTCTGCATTTATTTCTGGCTTTGATTCCATAGCTTGTGTCCATCCAAGAACAATAAGAAAATAAATCAAACGTGCTTATTTTAATAAAAGAAATCGTCGATAAAATTTTCGTGAGCGACCAAAGCAAATTTGTTTTCTTTTTCCTGATCATTTCAAAAGATTATGATTATGTAAAATACATTTGTTTTATTTGAAAATCAATTCCCTACATCCATTCCTGTATACCTTTTCAGGTGATTCGATTTAACATGAACATGCATGTGTTTATGTTAATTTTGACATTGTAAAGTGTTTAAAGTACCCACCATAACTCTCTCGATTACAGATGACGTAGTCGACTCTAGCCCAAAATCCGAACCCGACACTTTCAGGTTATCACATGACATACCACACGACCACACTGTTTAAATGTTAAAGTCTGACAAGAGTAACGGTCACTTTCAGCCTTGGTGTGAGTTAATTTAATTTGTGCTTTCACACGCGATGCTATCAATGGATCTTTATGTTAAAACTGGGTTCTATAAGACCAGCAGTTATGAGGTGAGAGGGTATTCAATACCATTATGTTCTTCTCTAACCATTCAGTAGTTTTTCCTAGAGCTTCAACATAGAACATGACGACAGTAACGTAGATATATGATTCGACAGGATGACAGCAGTTAACTTCAATATTTTTTACACTATAAAAATACATAGGACGAAGTGAACAAACGATACTAAGACTTGACAACAGTACGACCTCACCCCAACACAACAAGTTTCAGACTAACTAAACCTCTTTCCCGGCAACAACGACCCTACACTAAAACGTCACATTCCTGTGTACTGCTTCACATCTTCATGCGTTTATTATATCTTTCACACCAATATTCGTTCGTATAAACACACCTGATCAAACAAACATCATAACACTTTACTTGAGGCTAAAAGTGTACATTTTATTAAGTAGCTAATTTTTAAATTCAGTTCCCTTTTCACCTAAATTATGTTATTACTATGTTAATAACTAAAAATGGAAATATCTTTTAATATATCCACTAAAGACCTCAATTACCCCTTTAGTTAATTTTGACAGCGAACGCGGGAACTTTAAAAAAATGTCGGCGATGTTTGTGTTAATGTCTGTTTAAAAACATCGCTATTTATACTGCCACTTGATGGTGTATTCCATCTCATTGTATCACGAACTAAATGTACATATCCTGTTATATGTATATTGACATATAAAAACATTCAAGATAAATCTTCCAATCTAACCCTGCCCTATCACATGTTGATTGTAATGTAAGCAGTTGGGAGTTGGAATACAAACTAACAAAACTATACATATAACACAATTTTAAGAGAGATATATATGGATAGTTATATGGGTTGTGTGTTCATTTACTGATACAACGATACTTAATAAAAAATAGGGGTTTTTAATGTAGGAAAATTGTAGTCTTTTTTTTTAATTGAACGAATGTATTGATTACAATAAGTTACTTCCAGTAGGCCTATAGCAAAAACATTTTTTTTCTTGACAAATTCATAATTTGGATTAGCTTTTTTAATAAGATAAATATTGATTTTGTCTAGTAAACGTATTCAAGCCTTCATGTTTTAAATCGTTAATTTTATTTGTGTCAAAGTTCTAGATTTTAATTACATATTCAACAAGAACAATACGTTCATCTTAACACATAAAATGTAGGTATGCAAATTAAACAATACATTTTAATCATACATCTAGCGCTCACATACAGAAAAGATGATGATGGCATTAAATTATATGTGTAATGATGACAAAACAAATAACAAATACACCATTATAGTTTATGTAAACATGTAATCTAAACACAAAGTAAGTTGTTAGCGTGTGTTTAACATGGTGGTTACATATTTTATTGGTTTGAGAATTTACCATCCACCTTGTTTTGTGTTGAACTTCTATAAACTAACGATTGTAAAACTACTCAAGTCGGATAACTTTGCGTCTAGATCTGCGTGATACACTTCAAAGTAAAGTTCTTGACCTTTCTTCATGTCAACAACCACTGACCCAGCAGTGCTTGTAGAGGCAGAATTCACTACAATAAACGTACACAACCTGTCTCCAGCTATCACACATTCATGTAGACTGACACAGACAAGATATAAACCATCATGTGGTGATACAAATTTCCTTGTTGTTAAGTTAAAATGTTGACCGTTATATTCACGTACTTCACCAAATGTCGAAATAATTGAACCAAAACTAACAGGTGTGGGATTAGCAAGCCTCACATAAGAAACATATCTGTTACATACACGTGACTCTGTTGATTAGAAAACATATATATGATTTACATGTTTTAATTCAAAGATTATTTGATCAATAATATTTGTCGTATCATCATTTTATGTTAATAAAAAAAACATAGTTTCGTTATATGTGTACAGTTTGCAGTTTAAAATGTAAGTTAAATTGACAAAGCCAAAAAAAACTTTTTTTTTTCAAAAAAATAAATTGTGTATAATAATCCATAATGTTTACATAATTTTGTCCAAGGCCACAAATTGAAACACTAGACCACTAGTTTAGTACGGTCCTCAGTTTTAGTGGTGTTAGTTTATCGTGTCCTACGTATTGAAACTATGAGTGTAGTAGGTGACGTAATACGTCACAAATTGTACAACAAATGTTTTATGCGTATGTCTACGGCAAAGTCCAGAAAGATGCTTGCCCGAATGCAATTGTACATTCGGACACGTGTCTTTCGGGAAATCGTTCGCCTCCCGATATAACCATACAGTCCGTATGTGTTAAATTTATAGATTAATTATATATGTCTTATCTATATAAACAAAAATTACTAGAACTAAAGTTGTTCTGTTGTGCTTAATATTGACCAATAACAAGATCTGCACAGTAAAACGTTTGTATTGTTCTTTTTAAATCAATTAATGAGATATTAAAATGTTAATCAATGTAATCCTTACTAATGTTTTCGAGTTATTATTTTATTTTTGGATTTAATCCCTTGATCGTATGGGACTCAGTCTTCTTATTAGAAAACAAAGGGATGATGTGACGTTAATTGAAATTAATTAATTAATTGATTTTAAACTGCAGCTCTGTAAATGTGTTAATATGGTCTGTCTGGCTAACGAACATCACGTTATGGTCTGTCTGTCTAACGAACATCAAATTATGGTTTGTCTGGCTAACGAACATCACGTTATGGTCTGTCTGGCTAACGAACACCACGTTATGGTCTGTCTGGCTAACGAACATCACGTTATGGTCTGTCTGGCTAACGAACATCACGTTATGGTCTGTCTGGCTAACGAACATCACTTTATGGTCTGTCTGGCTAACGAACATCACGTTATGGTCTGTCTGGCTAACGAACATCACGTTATGGTCTGTCTGGCTAACGAACATCACTTTATGGTCTGTCTGGCTAACGAACATCACGTTATGGTCTGTCTGGCTAACGAACATCACGTTATGGTCTGTCTGGTTGTATGTTTAGTTTTAAAAACTTACCTATTAGATTTAAATCTTTGGACAATTTTGAAATAATATCTTCAATATTTTCCAGCTAAAAACGATTTTATAAAATGATTGAAAATCTCACATAGTTACGTAGAACATAAAATTGCTGCATTGTGATGTTATTAACTGGTCTATTAACATAGTGTTAATAATATTAATACATAATTATCAACGTCATAATCAAATTACTAAACATATACTTTTGTTATTCTTTTTTCCTTTGTTTCCAAGTTCTGGTTAAAGATTTGAATCAGTTTGTCAATGGGCATCAACCTTTGTTGTAGGAGTTTGTACATCAACTTGTGCTAAAGACCAGAAGAAATAATTTTAATTATTTCACCTGCACATTATAACTAACAAAAACATGTGTCTTAAAATTAGTAATAATATTACAGGTATAACTTTTGATAAAATTACTAAGTTGTGTTTTGATTTAACCAGTTTATAAAATGTGAAATAAGTTATCTGGCCAGTATGTGTAAAATTGTGTAAACACATCATTAGCAATTTTACCTTTTCTATTTGAGTTGATGTGTTAAGCTTGATTTTATAACTCTCTTCTTGTAGGGTAGATATATGATCTGAATGTCTTTTAATTTCTTGTGTTATACTGTCTATTTTGTCTGTGTAATCTTGCATCTCTTTATTTATTTTCAGTAAGTTGTTTTCATATTCTTTCATATCTAGAGTTAATTTCTCTAATGTTTTGTTTGACTTGTTTTCTTTTTCGTTTAAACTTTCAATTTCTTTGTTCAGCTCCTTTACTTTGTTATCTTGTTCACTCATTTGTTTTCTGAGGTTTTTAAAATTCTGTTTTTGTTTTTTAGTCAGTTGTTCAATGTTTACCCCCATGTCACTCTGTTCTGTTACAAAGTTGTCTCTCCATTTTTTTATTTCTGATATGTCATCTGTAGTTTTGTCATTGACGTCTTGTAGTGAAGATAGTGTTGTTTCAATATAGGCTAGTCTACGCTCTAGGTCAGGATGTTCTTCAACTGAAAATTGTCGCAATTTTGTAATTTAAAATGATCCAAATCTTGAAATATATAATGTTAAAAATGAAATTAAACAAATGTATCAATCGAACATTGGTTTAGAGTATGTTATGCTGTTATTTGACGTGTTATTCAAAGAATAATATAATATACCAGCTGTGTGTTGAACTTGTGTCTTGAGTTGTCTTGTTGATTCTACTGTTAGAAATGTTGCTGTTATCTGTTTGTCAGGCTGTGGTAAAGACGGCGTTGGTTTGTTGACGTCCATGTTGTCCTCGTCTGGTGGAATCGGATTTAGAATTTTATTTTAAGTTCAGTTGAAGTGAACAAGGATTTTTATAGTACACACAATAAATGTTGCTTTTTTAGCTAGTTAAACCATAACGCAAACCACGTAATACTCTGATGAAAAACAACTTTGAATATGATCCAAATGTATACAAATACAAATAATTCCAAAAAAGTCGAAATTTATATATTGTTTTAAATTTAACTTTTACAAGAATAATTATCGATTTTATAATGAAAAGTAATTTAAAAAAAAAAAAACTTTAAGGCTCTTCAACGTTGTTTTAGGGCGAATAAGGTTACACGATGTGATTGTAAAATTTTTTTTTTTGTTCATATAATGATTTAAAATATTCACTACTGCGAAGTAGATTTCATAGAAAAGAGGAAAATGGTTGGTTAGACAGTAAAATTATATCCCTTTTACTTAGTATTTATAATGTCTGTAAACTAAACTGTAAAACAATTTCGTTGCATTTTTCTCAGTAGAAACACTTCATTACTGAACACCCATGACACATGACAGTAGGCTTTGATATTTTAAATTATAAAAACTATTAGAGTACAGACCTAAAATATGTGACGTCACATCCAACAAGGCCGTGGCTGCTGTGTCCAGTTCTTGTGATAGCTCGATGTAGCTGACAGATGATTGGTCAGTTTTTTCTTCTATCCACGCCTTACTTTTTGCAACAACCTGGTTAAAGCAAACAACAACAAAATTGTCAATTGGTCACGTGTTGAAGTGCTATATTCCTAAACACGTGTTGCTGTTCTGTGTTTTTTAACACATGCACTTCGAAAAACGCTAAACCTACTTTATCGTGAGTAAAATGGTTTTTACATTTTAAGTATTACGAAGAATATTTTTAGTTGGTAATGACTTACATTTTTCATATTTCCCAAAACAGGTTCCAGAACTTGTATCTGTTCTTCCAAATATTTCTTGCGCTCTGTAACAAACTTGACGTGAATTCTTGAAGGCATCTAAATGTTAATAACACTAAATTTTCAAAATATGTTAGCTCTGTCATCATCACTAAGCAAATCTAAATCAGTGTTTCTTCTGGCAGATAAGGCTCGATCCCTGCCAACACTGAAAATTAAGAGCGAAGAAGAAGAAGAAGTATTTCTTCAAGGTAACCCCCCCCCCCCCTTCGAAAATGGGCTACCGCCCCCTAACGTAATATATAGAAAATATATACTTTTAACAGTGTCCGCCCCCCCCCCCCCCTTTAAATTTTAGTTCGCCCACCTCCCACCCCTCCCCCCCCCTGCCCCCAAAAATTTCAAGTGCCACCCTTTATCTACTGACTGTACCATATATAAGTCTAGCTCTTAAATTATTTTACTTTAAGGTGAATCTTTATAATCATTTATATATTTATAATCTTCCCTGAGTCAAGTATAATTTTAGTGTACCAAAAGTAATATGATAATTCATTGTTTAAGAAAAAAATATTTCATCCAGAAATTAAATCAGTAAAGAAAGAGTTAATTATAACAAAGAAATTAAAACTAATACATGAGTTATAAATCTACCAAGACTAAGTTTTTGTCCTAAATTATTAAACTATAACTGGCAATCCACAATTAAATGAAAACTACTTTAAATATTGTTATATTCCTTTTTTAGATATGTTAACTAATGTTACAGTTAATTATGTAATACATATCAGAAACATGCGATAGTTTTTATTGTCTTCACTAATGTTATTTCCTGCTTGTTAAAATTATACACTTGGTTATTTCCGTTTTTCACTTTCATTATCTATCGAACGTAGTGATGAACTATTTTTACAATTTATCTGTGAATTGCCTAAATATACAGTAATAAAATACGTTTTTTATTAAACGACCTACATACTTTTCTATTAATAGGTAGGCCTATATTTTAGGGAAATGTTATAATATAAAACGTTATACTTAAGACTTAAGACAATATAATAACTGAGTAAGAATTAATTAAAGAAGTAGAAGAGCTTTTGATTTTGTTGAACATTCATTATATTTAGTTTTTTTTTGGTTATATTAAAAGGAAATGCTATTTTAAAAATAGATGAAATAGATTAAAGATTAGCAGTACCCTTAAGCAGGCCGAGATCTAGTCTTGTTGTGAGGAATCAAACGACTAGAATTTGTAGAGTTGCAGAACTTCCTCTGTTAAATAATAGCGGGTTTTCCCGCTATTATCTCTCTTATAGTATTGATTTAACTACGTGTAGATCAGCTACAACAAGAAATCTATTTCACAAAAATAACGTTCTATCTAAAGGTAAGTAAACAATTGGAGATCTCAAACACATCGTTTTAATTATTTGGGCAGCGATTAGCGTGGGTGAAGTTCACATGCGAAATTGAAGCAAGAAATGTCATATGTAGGAGACGGAGTGGTTTTAGCGATAGAAAGCTGGACTGCTAACCCGTAAGTCTCGAGTTCGAATCCGGTTTCAAGTCAATAAACCGTCCCTGAGTCCACCTCACTCTGATGGATACCTAACTCACGTTACGGAAAGTAAAGGTGGCTGGGCATAGTGCTGACCACACTATCTCTTCATATGCCGAGGTCACAGAAACAAGTGAACTCATCTTCAATTGCCGTATAGACCGTCAGGTTTGTAAAGGGAAATTTACTTTTATGCCATATGTGGAGGCGGTAAAATGCGAAATTGAGCACAATATGATATATGTCGAGGCTTCAAAATGCAAGCTTGAGCTGAAAGTTAAAACCGTCGTTTACGTCACATTTTTTACTCACAGTTTAAAATGTTCACTGGGCTATTGCATCTGCAGTCATATTTAGCTACCCAAGCCAGCGCCCGGGGCGAACTAATAATTGTTTGCCCCCCCCCCCCCCACCCATTTTAATTTTATTGATTGACGTTACTTATTAGTAATTGAATGCAGATTTTTAAAATGAACCTTTATTTAGCCTATCTATTACTTACATGTAGATGTCTGAGTACAACCCCACCCATGAATCTTTGAACATTTTGTTGGAACAGTTAGAGAAGATGCATGTTCATGTCCAAAGTAATTGAAGTCATTTTGTCACACAGGTAATTCAAATATATATATATATATATATATATATATATATATATATATATATATATATATATAATATTTATACATATATAAAATTCTTTTTCAATACTATATTCTATATCGAACACATTTTGAATAATAAATCTGTATTTTAAATAATAATTTTTATAGCTATTGCTTTTGGTTACGACGAACATTTATAGTAACTGAATTAATAACGATAACTATTTGTCTACTAATCTATTTGCTCTAATTCATTAGATTAAACTAAAAACCAAGAACTGGATGGATAAAACGTCTGACACTAATATAACATTTAAAGATGTAGTTGCCATGGTAACATCCGCGAATGCTACATTGATAGAACATGTAGAAATTATAGCTGGTAAAGTGAACATTTGTATCTTGCTTTTAGAATTAGCAGCTACAGTGATACGTTCAACTTTTATTTTTATATTTTTTACTATCAGTTTTTAAATATTAGTTATGTAACATATAACGGAAAATTTAGGCATGACATTAAGTTATTATATTAATGAATAGTTCTATTTCATGTGGGGCATTCGAAAAGCAAGTGATGTTTATTTTTTCAACAAAGACATTAGTTAATATATTCATTTTAGATTGATGTTTATAGAAAATCAAAGCAAAGTTTAAAATGAGAGAAATATTTTGTTGTGATATAAACTTTTATTTTATAACTTCTTTCTAAATAAAATTAAGGATTCTTACTAATAAAAGACTTTTTATAAGTTTCAAACAACCCATCTTTAGACCAAACCTTTTTTTACAGAATGCAACACGCAGTCAACTACGACAGTTGTACAACACAAGACACCTGGTGTAACAGACACCAAGGAATCTCAAACTGGTCAGAGAGGTTTTTAACTTTAAGAACAAATATAAGCTTAATATGTGTAGTACTATTGTCACCTTAATGGATATTTATTGTATACGTTTACAGAGGATTTTAAATTACAGTAGTTTAAAACAATTTTTTGTTGCTACTCTGTGGAAGCATCTCTCATTTTGGATCTGGAACGTGTTTAAACATTGTATTCTCTATACATATAAACTATTTACAATCTTATTCAAATCAGATTTGTTAAATCGAGTGACAAATATTGAGAAAGCTATAGTTTCTCTTCAAGAAACGAAACTAAAGACTGAAGATGTCATGTCAGAAATGAAACAATGGAGAGACAACTATGTCACAGAACAGAGCGATAGGACAACAAGAATTGAAAAACTCAGCAAAAAACAAAAGCTGAACTTAAAAAGCTTTAGAAAACAAATGAGTGAACAAGAGAACAAAGTAAAGGAGCTGGAAGAAAAAATTGAAAGTTTAAAAGAAAAAGAATCCAAGTCAAACAAAGCACTAGAGAAAGAATATGAAAACAACTTACACAAAATATACAAAGAAATGCAAGGTTACACATGTAAAACAGACAGTGTAACACAAGAAATTCAACATTTATCTACAATTATTTCTGGTTTACAAGAAGATAGTAGGAAAGTGATTACCGATACAGCAATCACGATTGATAAATTACAGTTAAAGGTACATCAAAATAA